ATCTTCTATGCGATTTATTTTGTTTACAATCGCCAATAAAACTAATTTAAAATCTACACGTGTATTTAAATGTTTGCTTTAAAATTATATTACAACAAGTCGAAGTTCGACAAGTCGAAGAAAATTAAATGAGAAAAGTAACAGAATCTACAGGGAACACATACTGAAACTTGATTGGACTAATTTTGGGATTAATTGTTTCATCANAGATGGCGCTAGCCGTCAGGTAAACATCGGCTCCGTGATTTTTGATAAATAAAAAACATTAAAACGTGACTTAAGACATTAAAATGTGAAAAAAGTACTAATTGTTATTCAATTAAGTAGTGACAGTGTTATCTTCAAGAAACTGTCGGACATTTGTGAAATAATGACGAAAATTGTTTGTGTTTTTAAGTGCTCGCTAAATTAAAAATAGGTGATAAACAATGAAAATAAAGTGACATAGAACCATAATAAGTGAGTGGACGTTATAATATTTATAAACTATTTATGAAATAAGCGTAAATCTAGAAAAATAGTATTGTGACATTCTTGGTGCCGTTTATGTTATTCGAAAGTGGCAAGTGTTATAGAAAACTGACTATTACTGCGCTGTATATTATGACTATTATCCCGTAATGACAATATGACGCCATCTGTTGATTCTGAATGGTAGTACTGCGCACAATTCGATAGTACCGTCATCATTTGCTTTGTGAGTCAGTGAGTCAGGATGGGCGCCACCGACTTGTGCTCACTAACTGGTCGCTAATTTCGCCGTACAAGTAAGAGGACTGCATGGCCGATATAGTGTGGCCTGAGTGATAAAATAGTTCAAGAATTGTGGGTTCGAGTCACATCGGACAAGAACTTTTATTATTATTTTTTTAATTTTTTTTTTGTTTTTTATTTGAGATTACATATTGCATTGGGAATAAAATATAAATAAATCAAAATGGCGAAAAAATGCTACAAATGCAATAAAGTTATTACTGATACTAGAATACTAACATGTTTAACATGTATGAAGATATTTCACTTAGATTGTACAACTGTGTCAGAAAAATTATACTACCTCATGAAAAACAAGAAAAACAGTAAATGGACATGTGATGTTTGTATAAACAGGCGACGTGACGGGAATAGTCCCAGCACATCTGTAAGCTCGGAAAAAAGGATACCAGCATCCAGAAATATTGAACCCGCACCAACATTTGCAGAAAACACCTCGCCTTTACTGCTTAAGGAGCCAACATCAAAAGTGCCTACAAAAAAATATCAGGATAAGATGACACTAAACCCTCCGACGATACCTACGGAAATGGTCTGCATTAGTGATGACACATATCCAAATCATTCACAATCAACACAAGACTTTATCACACAACGTAATAAATGTAAGACGAATATTGTAGTGGAAAACTCATCTCTATCCCTGCAATCCGATTCATCCGATAGCGAAGACTACTCGGAATTAGACGCAGAAATGTTAAATAGAAGCTGTCCTGAAATAAGTCAAAGTATCAAGGAAGAGTTAATTGACTTAAAAACTAAACTAAATAACGTAGAAAAGAAGCTCTTAATTGCTGAAAAAGAGATAGAAAATTTGGCTATTGAAAACATTTCGTTAAAAAAACAAATTACAGCATATGAAATGAAAACAAATCAACTCACACAAATATGTCGTTCAACTCCAAGGCCGGAAAAACCGAGAGGAAAGCAAAGAAGTGTAAAGAAAAAGAGTGTGAAATTGGATTTTATGAATGAATCAATCAATAGTGAATCTAACAGAAAAGAAATTTATGAAATTCCTGCAAAGTTTACAAAAATGCCAGTAACAACGGAAACAACCGATGGAAAAGCAAACTCAGGCAATATCAAGAAAATGAAATTATGCGTAATAAGTAGTAACAATAGAAATAAAGTGATAGGAGCCATTGAGAAATTGGACACTACGAGTTTTGAGTATTGCCACTACATCAAGCCACATGTCGGGGTAAAAGAACTGCTAACTGGACTGGAATCTAAATTAGAAAGTTTTACTAGAAATGACTACTGTGTTATTCTCGTAGGGGAAGAAGATTTTAAGAAAACGACAGACAATAGTGACCTAATAACTTACATGGAAAAGATACTAGAACAGATAAACAACACCAATGTTATTATTGGAGTACCCACATACGTGCTTGGGGCTCCACTATACAACTTTAGAGTGGAAGTTTTCAATAATATTCTTAGTGATAGCTTTAAGTCTCTGAAATATGTTCATTGTTTTGACTCCAATCTGGATTTGTCTCTTAATATGTTCTCACAAGTAACAGGTAAAATAAATAATTATGGTCTTGATAACATCTTTCAAAATCTTAATAATATTTTTTTTCGTTTCACAACATCAAAACTCAAAGTGTAACGTAATTTGTAATCGAGTCATTTTTCAGAAAGAAGAGACCAGTCCGGATCATTATCTTGATTGTAAGTCAGGAAATGTTAACGAAGTTAATAGGTTTAGTATATATCACCAGAATGTGTGTAGTCTGACGACAAAGAAAGATGAACTAGATTTATATTTGGAAAACCTTAACACTTTAAAGCCACAATACGTGTGTATTACCGAGCATTTCTTAAATAACAAAAGTATTAATTTGTTTTGCTTAAATCATTATGACATAATTTCTTATAACACAAGGTCTAAGAAAATCAGAGGTGGCAGTCTTATTATGGGCCTTGAAAATTGTATCTTCGAAGAATCATTTTTCTGTAAGACTGTTTATAAAGTAGACTATTTTGAGATTTGTGGTATTAAGGACGTGAATACTAATTTGAATGTTGTCTGTATCTATAGGAATCCAGTAGATAAGCACTTTGATGTATTTATGGAACAGTTGGAAAAGACTTTAGAATATTATTTTGACAAAAAATGCATAATAAGTGGAGATTTCAATATTGATTTGCTAAAAGATACTAAATATAGATCAGAATTTTTATCCTTGCTCAAATGTTATAATTTCAGACCTCTCATATCGGCAGTCACTTATATAAAGGGTAATGCACAATCTTGTTTGGACAATTTCTTAACCAATCTTTCAGATGCTTGTATTGGTGACACTACCTTAGATCACAATGGATTATCTGATGGACATGCAGCGATTATGTGTAGCATTTCTCTTCCGTCTCATGGAAATATGAAAAAGGACAATGAAACAGTAATAATGACAAGTCGAAGAAAATTAAATGAGAAAAGTAACAGAATCTACAGGGAACACATACTGAAACTTGATTGGACTAATTTTGGGATTAATTGTTTCATCAAGAACTTTCATGGGATTTTTCTGAAATGTTTTAGAAAAAAGAATCAAAGGGTCAAAGTTAGTGGTAAGAAGGCTTTAGTTTGGGTTACAAAGGGAATTAAGACATCAAGTAAAATGAAACGCTTCCTAAACCAAGCTCATGTGTCTAATGTGGACACATCAGTAGTAAATTATAAAAATAACTACATACGGATTTATAGAAAAACTATACGAGCCGCTAAAAAACTAGCCGTCCAATCTGCAATAGATCAATCAAAAAACTCAGCCAAAACAATATGGAGTGTCGTAAACAAACAGAGGAAGCAGGGTTGTAACAGTAACAAAGACAAAATCATTTTGAAGGTACGTCATAGGTATATTGACAATCCACAATCCATAGTAGACATTTTTGCGGATACATTTGACCATAACAATCATCCGTCCACAGGTGATCAAAAACTATCTATAAAGTTTCTCAAACAAAGTTGCGAATCTTGTCAAACCGAAATGACTTGGGAATACATTGCACCCACAGAAATAGTTAAAATAGTTAATAAAATGGAAGACAAAAAATCATGCGGATGGGATGACATACCCATTTCTGTTTTCAAACAAAATATAGACTTATGGGCAAATCCATTGGCAACATTTTTCAATAAATGTTATGAACAGGGCGTATTTCCGGAACAATTTAAAATTGCGAAGGTTATACCGGTATACAAAAAAGGATCAAAAACTGACCCGAAACACTACAGGCCAATATCATTATTACCAACTATCTCCAAAATTTTTGAAAAACTTTTAAAAAATCGTTTAATGAAGCATATAAATGAAAATTGTATGCTGAATAAACGACAATTTGGATACCAAACTAACGTTGGAACTAATGATGCAATTGAAACTTTGACAGGGGATGTTATCAAAAGCCTGAACGAGAGGAGAAAAGTGGCCGGCATATTTCTCGACTTAAGTTCTGCATTTGATATGGTGGACCATCAAATATTAATTAAGAAATTGCAACATTATGGAATAAAAAATAAGATACTTGCATTATTTGAATCATATTTGAATAACAGAAAACAATATGTGGAGTTAAAGTATGTGGAACAAAGTAGTGAGAAATTTTTCAAGTCACAACCAAAAAACATCAAAAGAGGTGTTCCGCAAGGATCTATATTGGGCCCAATTTTCTTTGTGATGTTTATTAATGACTTAATTCCGTTTATGTACAAGAATATACCATGCATTGAGCTTACAGTTTTTGCGGATGACACTAACGCTATAATAAGTGCGCAAAACATTTCAGATCTCAATGACAAAGTAAATGATGCACTGGCAGCGTTTCATCTGTGGTTCAAAGCAAATAACCTTAAGCTCAATGCAGAAAAGACTGGAGTCATCCTATTCAAGCCCACTACCAGGACTAAGGATGTTCTTGACATTAGATTGAATCATGAGCAAATTGAGTTGGTAGATTCAGTGAAATTCTTGGGAGTATATATAGACTCAGCTCTAAATTGGAAAGAAGAGGTAAAACAAATAGAAAATAAGATTTCTTCTGCATGCTACGCTCTGCGAAGTCTAAGGGAGGAACTAACAATGGCACAAATAAAAAGTGTATATTATGCACTGGTTGAGTCTCGCCTTAGATATAGTATAAAATTTTGGGGAAACAGTTATAACTATAATTTTAAGAAGGCATTTATAATTCAAAAGAGAGCAATAAGAACAATGGTTCGCATAAGCCAAAGGCAGTCTTGCCGAGAACATTTCCAAAGATTAAAAATCCTGACAGTCCCATGTCTTTACATTCTAGTTCTTCTCACAGAATTTGTCAAGCACCCAGAAAGATACGAGACCACAGAGGAAAGGATGAAACGCCTTGAGACTAGAAGGAAGGACATACCAAATTCAACACAGCCGAAGCTGGGAATAGCTATGCACAGTGTCAAATATCAGGCGGTGAGATTGTTTAACAAATTGCCAAAGGATCTCAAAATAGATACAAATCCAAATTCATTCAAGAAGAAATTGAAGCTTTATCTATTGGAAAATAATTTTTATAGCGTAGAGGATTATGTAAATAAAATTTAAATTGAATTATCAAAATTGACATAAAATAATAATACAGTCGAATTTGTCATAATGTATTTAATATTAATTTTATTATTTATTTCATTTGACATAAATACCAATTGACTTTAGTATATGAAATGCAATTTTAGGGTTAGATTGGATTTATTTTATTCTATTTTAATTGTATTTTAATTAATTTTGACATTATGTATTGTGTAATAATTTTATTTATTTATTTAATCTGACATTTATATTAATTCTAGTATGTGAAATGAAATTTTAGGGTTAAATTAGATTAATTTTATTTTAATTGAATTGCAGATTGTGTGAATTTTAATGTCTAATTTTCCTATACAATGTATTTTGTTTTTGGAATAAATAAATTGAAATTGAAATTGAAATATGATCTATGTTCAGAGTTTCCTTATGATAGAATCAGAAATAAGAAGATCCGTAGGAGAACTGAACGAAAACTAAGTACCTAACTGATAAAGCAGCATTAAGTGGCAGCAGGTATGGCACATAGCTTGACGAACTGATACTTAGTCATTGGGACAAAAAAGTTATCGAAAGGGGACCACTGACCAGAAGAAGTAGTGAAGGAACGCCCCCCCAATTCGATGGACCGAAGATCTAGAAATGGTCGCAGAAAGCACCTGGATACAGGCAGTGCAGGACTGGGATTAAACGAAAATTATGGTTTGGCTTTTTAATTTGGACTGGCAACTAGAGGTCATCGTAAACACAATTGGACTGGATAATACTTCAGAGGAGTAACAATAGTGCTTCAGAGTACTATTGTTACGTCACTTGTTAGGATGTTGCGGGGTGATTGAGGGTTGAGGTGATGCGGCCACATGCTTTAGTTGTGTCTTTGGTATACATTTGTTAATAAGTGGTCAGTTATTTTGCGCACTTATAGTAGGGTGTCCCGAAATATCTTTTTTTATATTTTCGCTACACAAGACCCCTCAAAAGTTGCGTCATAAGATGTAGATTACCGTAAAAATAATTAAAAAAAAATTGAATTGAATTGAACACACACACACACAAACACACACACACACACACACACACAGTGTCACATAGCCTTACCTTACTTTTGAAAAATACCTTATTAAGAAATAAGTAGCTGTTTGTTTATAAAACTAGTGAATGTAACCAAAACTATAAAGATATCTAGCGTTGTTCTAGTTCTAGTAATACGTACTTGTGAGTTTTTGTGGCTTGTTTAACATAATTATGTATCTTTGTAACTTTAAGAAAGAGCGGGGCCTCCTAACACAGGTATTATACTTAAAAGGAGACCCCAGCCACTTGCAACAATTATGTTAACTTAAAAGATACTGAATAAATGTTTTTTCATTTTTTCATTTTCATTTTCATTTTTCATGAATAACTCATCAATCATCATTTAATTTTCAGCTATAGGACGACTACTGCTGAAAATAGGCCTCCCCAAAAATTTCCTTGGCCTGAGGGAGCGGCATGCATCCAGCGCCTGCAACCTACAACCTTTATAAAGTTATCTGTCCATCTTAAAGGTACGTCACTTTTAAGTTTAAGTACCTAACTCTCCGACGCATCTGGTCAGCGTCAGAATTCATTATGGAAAATTACCAATATATTTCTTTGTCCAGCAGTGGACGTCATTTGGCTGAAACGAACGAACGAACGAACCAATATATTGAAAAAGAGGCTGCCAAAGAAGACTGAGTTTCACCAGCCAGATCAACGTCATAATATTATGGGCCGAAGTGGTGGTAGGGTAAGCTACCTAATTGGGGCCCTTTAGTCCACGTTCGTAACTGAAATTTGATAACCAGCTATGAACATGGATTTTTTTTTCTTGCTTCATAACCAGTTATGAAAATGGAATTTACTTGTCGTTTTTGTAACCATGTTTTATAACCAGCTACGAAAATGGTTTATGTTTTCTCTGTTCATAACTAGTTATTAATTAGTAAATATTTTATCCACTTTCGTAGCTAAGTTTACGTAAATGTTTTTTTTTCTCTGTTCCTAACTTTTTTATTAAAACAAAATTACCTATATCTGTTTTACATAAAATTTAGTGCTGATATATTGGGAATAATCGTTAACAAGAATAACAACAATAATAGTTACATTTCTGATGGTTGGGGCATGTATAAGCGTCCGGGAAATGGCCTAAGAACTGAATAAAAATCTTCTACTTTGACTTTGAAATGTACTGAATCTTGTGCTTGAGAGTGTATCTCTCTTGACCGATTTTTTATGTGTTGTTGTAAAGCAACATTTTAAAAGTATAATTTATCCGCTTCTTCGTCTTGGATATTAATTATCATGTCAAAACAAATCATTAACGTCGTAATCACAAAAACTATTTAGCATATTAGGTATCTTAATAAGTTAGTCTAGCCAGGAAATTCCGTGTTTTGCATTAAAAGTATTATAGTAGCTACTTTGGCGAAAATGAACTTTAGGAAATAATTAGTTATTTATGAATGTTAGAGTCGTAATTTGCGAGTTCTATAAAACTAAATATAACAAGAGGGTGTACTGAGAAAGTTTTCTAAAAATGTAAAACTCAATACCAAAATCTCACAATAAAAGTAATTTCCATGGGAAAAGAGAAAGGAAGGTGACATGTCAATCTGCCATGGTACACATCTGAAAGTCTGATGCCTCGTTACATTTGACTTAGAACAGGAACAGAAACACAACCTGCCGCGCTGTTCTACTACGAAACCTACTCAGGTCTTAGATATTTATTTTGTCGGCCGTTTGGTGTACCTAGTGATTCGAAACGGACTACTATTCCAGAGGTTGCGGGTTCGATTCCCGCACAGTACAAACTTTTGTGTGCATGAACATATTTGTATTGGACTGGGTGTTTTCTATGTATAATATGTATGTATTTACAAAAAAAAGTATTTAAGTATGTTTATATCCGTTGTCTAGTACCCATAGTACAAGCTTTGCTTAGTTTGGGACTAGAAGCGCAGTGTAAAATGTCCAAGTATATTTATTTTATTTATTTATTTAATTATTATTACTGACTGACGGAATGCTACCATGTACCTTAATTTTCAGTTTCCGATATTTCGGCACTGTTGCAGTTGCGCCATGGTCACGGAGTAACTGAAGAAACAGGTCTTATTTGCCTGCAGCTTAAAAACATCTTGTCATCATCATTCTTTACTTACATAAAACAATACAATAAAAAATGTGGAAAGCTCTGAATTTTTCCTGTAGGAAATTCCACTGTTTTTAATTTAGGCTCATATAGGTATTTATTGTTTAAGTTTTTGCTCACCTGTCCCTTACATTAGATGAGCAAAAAGATTATAATGAGTTGAATTTTATCGGGGTTTTCCTTATACAGGTGTCGGGGATTTTGAATGATGAGTTTAAGATTCGTGTATTTGTAAACTTTAGGGTTCCTTACAACCGATATAAAGACTAATCTTTAATTAAGATTGTTATTTAATTTTATTTAGGTAATTTGTCACAAAATACCTACAATTCCAATAGTTCACTCGCGGTGAAAGAATTTGGCATAAATTTCACAAAAAAAAATTGCACACAAATAATCGTATCACGACGAAAGTGCACGAAAATTTTACTAGGAGGTCCCTTGTTTTTCGTAGGAAACAATTTACCTGAATATTAATATGTTTATTAGTAATTACGTATCGTCATAAATTATAGCCTATATGTTATTCTGGGTTATAAAAAATAATACTGTAAAGTTTCATAATAATCCGTTCCGTCCGTTCAGTAGTTTTTGCGTGAAAGAATAAGAAAAACATCCATCCAGACATCCAGACATCCAAACTTTCGCATTTATAATATTAGTAGGATAATGAAATATAATTTAATAATGAGTATACCTATAGTTCCAAATATAGTCACCATTGATAAATATACTTCTACACCATTACAAAGCCCTAACCCAACAATAATATCTAAATCCAGCTCACTTAGCTGTAACTAGATGAAATATAATCCTAGACCGAATATAATAATCTCTGTGAAGTTTGAAACCTAAATTACAATCTCATGTCTCAATTACGATACAGGGCCTTAGTTTCTCGCAAAATGTCTTAGTGATGTCAGCGTGTAATACGATAAAAGCATTTTATTCCACCCTTTACCTCTCCACGTATAAAGCGCATATATTTGAGCTACTTTGCAGATAACAATCCCTCAGAGTCAAAAAGTTTCAATCCCACAAAGAGCTTCCTTGGAGATTGAGGTTAGGGATGGGAGGTGTCGATAACTGCTATCGATGTATCGCGAATGTTTTACAAAAAATACTGTTGATATTAATAATAGGTAATTATAGATAGGTAATGTAATTAAAATGATTAAATGTTCTATAAATAGACCTGAAATTTTAAGTGATGCTTGTATTTAGATAATTGTTCGTGAAGCGCCACAGGATGAAGTCTTATCGGTGATTGGAAAATAATTTACCATTAACTTTGATAGTTTTATAGCGCTAACGCTTACTGAATTAATACCTACTAGCTCACGATTTGAAGACAACCCGGTTATAAAAGTGCGGGCAAACAAACAGACCCTAAAATGACAAGATAGAGCATTATATCATTATTGTCCTCTGACGTGTGACTATGGGGTATTTGGATTTTTAATACCTATTGATTATACGATTTTGTGAACAAATCTATTAACATCGACATAAACTATCGATAGTCGATGAAACAACAATTCCGTCACTATCGCCGTGTCCGCAAGTGCAATATCGGATACTAGGTTCACGTCAACGGAATAAAACACGCCAAGATTTCGGATACAAGCGATGTGTGGACGGGAACGTGAATAGTGCCGGGTTATCCATGGAATACCTTTCTGTGCGATTAAATTTTGTTAGTATACAT